TTCCAGTTCAGTTTTAGGTTAATGACTCCTTCTGCGGTCATTACCTGTGAACTATTGGGAACTAATGGAAAGCGGAAAGCTTTTTTAATTAGTTCTAGACCAACGTGTTTGTGAACCAAGGTTTCGTAGAAAGCTCGGTTAATTGCTGATTTATCTGTCCACAGAGACAGTACAGCGTCGTTGGTGTGGGACCCTTGGATCTCTACACCCTTAACTACCAGTGGTAGGTAGTGTTTGGTGGACTCTGACTGTTCCAGCTCGCAGAGGATGCTGTCCCGTTGAGTCAGAGTTTGGACCACTTGGGTTTCTTTGGTTTCACATGGTGTCAGGGGAGTACTCACCGGGCTCGTGTCCTCGGCTGAGGAGTCCTTTGTGCCTTCCGCGGTACCTGCTGTTGGGCAGTCTGTGTCACACTCCGGAGGCGTTTCTATTGGCAGTGGTTTGCTCACTTTTGTCCACATTATTTGATCACCATAATCTATAATCGCGTTAAAGCGATTTATAAAATCCTGGCCAACCAAAAATGGGAATGAGTCAACATGGGTCACGTGTACCGGGTGGTACAGTGTCATATTGCCAATCTGCATGTGAACCATTGCTATAGCTGTCAGGGTTGTTTTCATTTCTGAGAGACCCTGCATTTCTATAGCACATTCAGAGAGAGGTATTATCCTGTTAACACTGGCAGCGGCCGTCCTCAGCTCCTCGAACAGTTTAGCTGACATAATTGTTATGTCTGCCCCACCGTCCAAGAGTGCTTCGTGTGTGAGGACACCTTCGAGTGTTACTGACAGGTACGCCTTTTTGGCGGCCCCCTTTCTGATAAAGTTACACAGAAACCTTTTGGTTTTTTTCTGACGCTTTTTCACGCGTTCAGATTTATCTGTGTAATCTTGATTTGTCTGAACCGTCAGCACAGCAGAAGCTGTTTCTGAGTGTTCAGCTTGCGATGACTCGCCATCGTTTGTGTGTGTGTTTACCCCCCCCTTCTTCTGATGAGGGGTTGTTTGAGTGAACAACAGTTATGTCCTGGTGTGTTTCACCGACATCTGTTATGTTGTCATTCGCGCCATTAGATGTAATGGGAATTACATCACTGCAAAGTGCTCCTGGTTGGGTTCCCGTGTCAGTGTGTTTCAAAGTTTCTAACAACCTGCGTATTTTCTCTGTCTCTTCCGAGTTCAGAGGTGTAGGGCCTTGTTTCTGGAACTTTTGTGATTTTTTCGCCTCGGTTCGTTTCGTCCGAGGTGGGGGACGGTCAGGTACGTCTTTCGGGGGTTCCTTTACGTACTGCCCCTGCCGATATGGTTTCTCATATCGTTGCGTCCTGCGCTCACCCCATTTACGATAATCACGTTCATCCTCTGAAAGAGGAGCATTTTTGTCCCAACGTGCACCTTCATTACGTGGTTTGTTATTTTGAACAGACTGTTTCCTCTCTTTCTTAGGAGGAGGTGGCGAAGCACGTCGTCCTTCTAGTTCAAGAGGGTGGGGTTTAACCTTTACACTTGGAAACACTTCAATGGGCGTCTTATCATGAGAACATGCTTCAAACACATTCACAGCACACTGTTTAATCTCACTGATGGATTTTTCTCTGAAATTTGCCATCATCTGTACTGATTTTTTAAAATCAGAGTGGAGATTTTTGGTGAAAACAAACTTAAAACCATCATCTTCTTCCATTCCGGTCTCATTTCTGTTACCAAAATAAGCTTGGAAGATTCTTTTGTAATAAACTTTTGGATGTTCATTCTTGCCCTGCGTGACCTTGTCAGCGGCTGGAAAACCAGCAGGTCCCGTGCAAGAGTCATACTCTTTGATCAGAGCCTCACACAGAAGGTTGTAATCCCTCCTCGTTGCATCTGGCAGACGCTCGATGAAGGTGAACACCTCTCTGTCCGAAGTGAGTCGTATCAGACTGATTTTATCCTCTACCGTAGCATTAGGATAAGCTCTCAATCTGAAATCCAGATCTTTGAGATACGCTTTTGTTCCTGCTGACCCCATAGGGCCGGGAACGAAACGTTGTACATATTTTGAGACTTTCTGCAAATCATCCATTGAAGGAGACTGTATCAACGGTCTCACATGCGTGATTGGTGCAGATTGGTCAAGGCCTGCTCCTACCGCCCATGGTGGGGGTGGGGGTGGCTGATAAGGAGGAAGAGGTGCATATCGGTGCAGTTCTGTCCCTACCGCCCATGATGGTGGTGGGGGTGGGGGCATGGTGTCAGGAGGAAGAGGTACATATTTGTGCAGTTCTGTCCCTACCGCCCATGGTGGGGGTGGGGGTAACGGCGTGTTGTCAGGAGGAAGAGGTGCAACAGCATCTGACTGGAGAGTTTGTGGCTGTCTCGGACCCTTAGACTGTTCGTCTTTGAGTCTCAGA